TTACAAGTTGCTTAAACTGGAATCCATCCCACTACCAAATCGCGACTGTGGTTTCTAAGCACTTTTCATGGTTTAATGTTGGGCCGACCAGGTTCGGGCTGTGCCAGGAGCCAAGTCCCCACTTTGCCAGGTGTGATGTGACCACATTAAGTGCACTGTCCTAAAGTTGAATTCTTTGATGGTCAAGGATGAGTAAAGTGACTAAAGCCTTTCTAACTGATATTTTATTGAGAATATAATGTGTGTTTTAAGCCCTAGAAACTTTCACCATGTGGATCACCTCCCTGGCCAGGGATTGATCTCAGGCCGCGGTAGCTGTGGACAGCCTAATAGGTTGCATCTTAACCCCTTGAGCCACCAGGGAGGCCCTACTTTAATTTTAAAAAATGATACAATTTGAAAGATTCAAATATTATTTTTTAAAACACCTGCTGTAATTTTTTTTCAGTTTACCAGATTAAAACAGGAAACTCTCAAGCTGTCATCAAAGTTATGAGCTGGAGGAACTGGGCATAATAAACACAGTGCCAAGAATGATATTTTGCAAAAACAATCTACACCTTTTCCAAAATATCTACTTGAGAGCATTTCTAACTGTAAGCTTTCAAATATAAGGAGAACATACTGTTTGATGAGCTGTGATTATGTATTACATATTGCTTCCTACCCTGTATGTTTATATTTTGTATATTCCTGTGTATTTTAGATAATCTTTCCATTATTTACAAACCTTAAAAAGTAGATTTGAAATATCAAAACATTTGCAATGAGTCTAAAAAATATTCCTGAAAACCAGTCGGTCGGGGTGTGGGGCGGGTGACCCATAGCACCTTTCCTGGCTGCCAGGACCCCCAGGTGCTAGTCCCAGAGAAGAACTTTTTTTAGGAGCCTTGGAAGGAGTTCCTGCCTTTCAGGATCTAAGAATTTAGCTGGGGAAATAAGACAGGCTTGCAAATTGCCTTTCTGTTTTTCTTTTTTAAGATTTATTTATTTATACAAGAGCCAGGGTACAGGCCAGATGCGCAGGAGGGTGAGAGGACTCACCAGAAACAGAGTGGGGAACAGAACAGGCAGACTGACTGAAATACACTGCTGAGGGGAGCAGCGGTCCAGACAGGAGAGGTCTGCCACGCCATATGGGATTCTTCCTGGCCGGCCAGGAATCAAACCCGCTCTGCAGAGGCTGCGGACAGCTTCAGAGCGCTGCGCTCAACCTGCGCCACCGGGGAGGCTCAAGTTCCCTTTCAATTAAAGTCAACATGGGCAGGCTCTGCTTTTTACCATGTCAACTCTCCGTTTTCTTCACACATAGTGCTTCTTTCAACAAATTTTTGTGGGTATCTATTCTGGTGTGATCCTTTGGGGCTCAGAGGTGAATCAGATGGGATTGTGGCCCAGCGAGAATCTCCCAGGGGACAAGAAAGCTGCACAATTTGATGTGGAGCAGAGGTGGGGGTACAAGAGTCACAGAAAGGGAACAGATAAAACACAAAGACACAACTACTTTCCCACCGAAGAGAATGGAAGGGGTGGCATCTTCTTTAGAGCTAAAGGAATAGACTTCAATATAGAAGATGGAGAGCAATGTCTTTCCAAGCAGAATCAACTAGAACAAAGATGTATGAAAAGAGAATTCATGGAGGAAATGATTGCAAAAGTATTTTGGGGTTTATCACAGTGTAAATGTAGCACATATGACAGCCCCCTTTTGAGCGCTTAGAGGCACTGGGAAGTCATTTGGAGTTTTCCAGAAGTCCAAGGGCACGTTCCAGAGTTAGGTTTCAGGACCATTAAACTCTGTAAGGTCTCTGTTTCCCTATTGCTCAGTCATGATGTCCACGAGCCTCTCTGCACTCTGTGCTGAGCCTGTGTCAGTGAGTTAGCTTCAAGCCCAAGGCCACGTGGCTGTCTGTCCACCAGTATTAGCTCCTTAGGTGCTGGTCTCCAAGCCTTTCCTAGTGTCCGTTTAATTCTCCTTTTTCTAGTTCTTTGTGTTCATTTTGAATCTCAGTCATCAACCTTTTCCTGGAAAGTTAATTGTTCTCCTTAAAAGGACTTAAAGAGAAATTTCTCTCAGTACCAGTCTTGGGAATGATTTCTAAGCAAACTTTTTGAATGTTGAGACTCTGTGTTTAGCTTATCTTTCCTACTTTCATTTCTTGTTTGATTCTATCTTCCTTTCTGTCTATGTTTATTTTTTATTCTGTCTTGTTATCCTTTCTATACTTGTTCTACCTTGAATATGTTGGCATAGATACAACATACTCCAGATACTTCTAACACCCTGTAAGTCTGACTATCTAGAGCTAGCATTGGCCCTCCCAACTAAATCCTCAGATATTGTTCCTGTCAGTGCTGAGGCAGAATTTCAATTTCTGGCAACCATCTCATCTCACACAAATTCTGCACTTTTTTATATTGAACCTAACTTGCATTATCCAGATTTGTTTTATTTTTAAGGCTTCTGGTGGTGTAGTCAAGCTGAACTCAACTGGATAGGGCTACCAGAAAGAGTTTGGGTCTTTGCATGATGTCTTGTACATTTTAAGTTCTCAATAAGTGCTAGATTAATGAATGTACCTACAGAAAGCCACTGCAGCACTGATCACTGTAGAAACTTAAATGGAAGTTTTTCTCCACTAATTAGGTTTTGATTTGTTCTAAGGATAGGAATCTTCAATGCAACATATTCTAATAGGTGATAACAGATCTTAAAACCCGTTCAGTTTTCAGTGATAACCTCAATGTCCACAGTGATTTCCCCTGTTACTGACTTAGCATTCGCCTGGAACATAGAGGCTTGACAAATGTTTGTAAGATCAATGACTAAGTACATGGGTGAACGAATAAATGAATGCATTTCACTGAATTATTGGATGGCAATGACAACTAACTGGGGCATATGATTTCCCACATTCCAGATGAAAAAACTGAGTCTCCTTGTCATAATGTCTGAGTTAGGAATTTAATTTGATATTCCCATTTCTACTGCTGTTTTCCCCTACACAGTAAATTTCCAATATATAAGTTATTCTACATAACATGTGCAGTGTAACAACATTCTTTCATGGTGTCATGCTTAAAAACATAGGGTTACTGACCTAGCCTCTTTTTCTTTTTAGATGCAGTCGTAGTACTTCTCCCTTGGAAATGTTTCTCTTTTTTCTCTTTGTTTCCATTGCATTGACACCAATCTGGTCGAGGTCCTCTCACTGCAGCTATCAACCTACCACAGACTATTGAAATCTTCTTTAATGACATCTATGGAGATTATAATCATATACCCTGATGCTGGGGAGAACAAAGCCAGATAATAATATGAGACCTGAATGATAAATCTTTCACAAATTTTTTTAACTGTTTATTGTTAACACCAAATTCTCTATGATGTTTTGAGCCTGCCATTCTCTCCAGCATTAATTTCAATTTAACTGAGATTTAGACACTCACTATTTTTCGAGGATGCTGACCAGGACTTTTATTGTTTTTAGACTGGAAAACTTCAAGAATAAAGACTGTGCAAGGAAGCAGCTGTGTTTCCTAACTTTAGGTATTAACTCTGTCCCTCATTTCAAGAGTAAGCAATTATTCATAGTTAAATTATATGACGTGGTTATTAGCAATCAGGAGAAACATGTAGTAATTACTGATATTATATAGCCTGGGTGGAGCTAGTGTAATTATTGTACACTCTGAAGAAGATTGATGATATATGTTCAAACTATCACAGATCATGTATTTATTTCATAAAGCAGAATGACATTCTTAGACTCTGTGATCTGGCTTAACAGTTGCTGCTGGAGCTCACATTATAGATGAAAGATTGTCCTTGTCCTTGTGCGTTTCCTGTTCTCTTTTAATAGGTGCATTTCTATTAATAGTATGATTTAATACGTCACTTTAAAATTATATTGCCCTTTGAACTGCATTTAGTCAAAAATTGACATCTTCTGTGCTTGGAAGCATAATACGCTTAGCATTAAATTGAGTCATCCGTCTGTTTGCTAAAATGTAATATTTGTGAATTGTAGCATGTTCAAAGCTAGATAATGAGATTGAAAAGTTGGCCTCCAATGGTATATTAATTTTTGAATTTTAACTTACGTCTTAATAACATTAGGGAATTTTTCTGTGATTCTGGTCTAGCTTTGTGTGTGTATCTAGAAGTTGCTGGATCCTTCGTGATGCTGGTTTAGAACGAAATATTGTACCACCAACTCTGGGGCATGCGTCGCCCTGGTCACCTATGACTTACTCCAAAATGTGGTTCTATTGCATACTGTGAAATTGGAAAATCTGTTCTGTGTGTGTTCTAATGGATGTAACGGTCATTAAGTATATGAGTCTTCTGACGTTGTAATCAGATGTGCTTCAGTCTGTTAAATATCCATGAAACAACATCTGCTTCACAGAGTGACCTTCTGCTAAAGAATACTTAGCGTCTATTAGCAGATCATAGAGCAGATCTGCCTTATTTGAAATGCACTAAACTAGAGTAGTCGACTGCTGTTTAGCAACTAGCTTGTAATAATTTATTGCAGTTAAATAAAGCTTAAAAAAACTCCATTAAATAATTATAGGGATTATATGCATTTCGAAAACCTTTGTGTTCTGCTGAAATTACCCATTTAATTTCAGGGTTGGTTTGTTAAAAAAAGCTGAAATCTACAGGCACATTAGAGGAGCTGTCAGAGCCTGTTTTCTGTAGGTGTTAATAAAACCAGATAAAAAAAATCTGAAGCAAATTAAAACCAAAAGCAATTTTACCATCTGTTGTGTATTAATTAGAACTTTGTGTATCAAGGGTAAACTTGCTCTTAGAGAATGTCACCGAATCCCGAGTAATAGAATAATATGCAAATTTATGAGGCTACGGATGTATATGCTGTTTGTAATTCTGATTCTTTTATGTTGATTCACCAAGAAGTTGGTGGTGTGTATAGATAGGTGTGGGCACATACATGTAAGTGTGTAATGAGTTTCTTTTTTTCTTTTTTCAGAGCAACCTGCAAACAATCAAGGCCAGTCCGCCCTGCAGCCTCTGCCACCCTCCCATAAGCAGCACTCCGCACAGCATCATCCATCCATCACTTCTCTCAATAGAAACTCCCTGACCAACAGAAGGAGCCAGAGTCCGGCCCCGCCGGCTGCTTTGCCCGCCGAGCTGCAAACCACACCCGAGTCCGTCCAGCTGCAGGACAGCTGGGTCCTTGGCAGTAATGTACCACTGGAAAGCAGGCAAGTCCTTCAGGGAACGCAGCATCCCTGAGATTATCAGGACTATGCATGCATGGAGAAAGCATACACTATAGTAGTTGACAAACTGTGTTGTTCCAATGTCTGCAATTTGATTTTTTTTAAGATTTATTTATTTTTATACAAGAGCTGGGGTACAGGCCAGAGGCACAGGAGGATGAGAGGATTCACCAGAGACAGAGTTGGGGAGCAGAACAGGTGGATCTACTGAAATACACTGCTGAGGGGAGCAGCAGGTGAGACAGGAGAAGTCTGCTGCGCCATGTGGGTCAGCTCCCTGGTCAGCCAGGAATTGAAACCGAGCTGCAGAGGCTGCCGACAGCTTCACAGCGCTGTGCTCAACCCGCTGCACCACCAGGGAGGCCCTGCGATTTATTTATTTATTTATTTTTTTTTTTTTTGCATAGATGAACTAGGGTGTAGGCCAAAGGTGCTGGGGGGTGAGGCTGGGGGGCGAGAGGATTCACCAGAGACAGAGTGGGGTGCAGAACAGGCAGATCTACTGAAATACACTGCTGAGGGGAGCAGTGGGGAGACAGGAGAGGGCTGCAGCGCCATGTGGGTCAGCTCCCTGGCCAGGGATGGAATCTGGACATAGCGGTAATAGTGCTGAGACTTAACCCCTAGGCCACCGGGGAGGCCCCAAACATCTACAATTTAAAGATAAACTAGTTCAACCCTTTTTCTCACTAATAAAAACTTGCAGACTTACAATAAATCTGTTTTTTCTTCTCTAAGAACAGTCCCAGGTTATGGGTGATTATTTCACGGTCGGGCCAGCAAACTTTCCCATCCTCAGCCACACGTTTCATAGCTTATAAGACAGGAGAATAAAAGGCTTCAGTGTTGCTTTCCTTGCTATCATTTTTTTCTTATTTGCAAATCATCAGGCATGTGGAAAAAAAGGTGGAGATGTGAGAGGGGATCGTCAGCCCAGCTAGCTTGATTCAGTGAAATATATTTAGCATGTTCTTGCTTCCAGAAGCCCCTCATTTCCTTCCATCTTCGTAGACAGGGCTCCAGTTCGGCCACTACATCATGACATCATAGCGGATCCCCTGGTGTCACACTCTGGCCCGAGTCTTAACCCCTTGTTAAGGGTGGTTTTGTTTCTTGCTATAGAAGGGAGCTGCGAGATCTTCTCTCAAGTTCCTTTTATGCTTTTTCCTAAGACATTAGAAATTCTTTCTTACGATGTGCTAACAGCTCCATTGTTGAAATCTCAGTCCTCTGGTTGTTATCACTCCACTCATCATCTGTACTTACACAAAATAATTTTGCCCGTTGCTATAGGATGGCCGTGGGCTTCTCTCAGTCTTGTCTTCCAGACACGTCACCAATTTAATGCTCTTTCTCTGGTGCTTCAGTGAGGTTCTCAGATGACTCCTTGGCCAGCTGGCCCACAGTTGACAATCTGCTCAGGGACAAGCACAAATCAGTACAAATCATTTTGAGCTAATCCAGTTGGTTATTGCCTTTCTGGTCTCCTATTGGTGACTTTTTAGCAAACTTCCCATAATAATCCTATTAGTATTTTTGTCTTCCATCCTTTCAGCTTCCCCAGCTTCAGAGAAAAAGAATCATCACCACATAAAAGCCAAAACCTAGAAAATTCCCCACCCCCTAGGAGAATGTCCCCCCAAACGCTATGGCTTATAGAGCCCTTGGCTAGCGTCAGCATTTAAATGAGCTCCTGATGGAGGAAACAGGTCTCATGATGAAAAAGTTGCTATTTTTTGGCACGAAATGCCTGTTCTAAACTAATTCTGGCCAGAGAATGAGCTCTCAGGACCTCCTCACGGTTAGCTGTCAACAATAAAAATCTGCGTCTTTTCTTTTACTCTTGACCTAAGAACAGGGTTTCAGAGAACTCTTATCTTTTTATCTATGGTGTCAGCTAAGAGTTGTTGGGTTTTATTGTTTGTTTTGTATTATTGAACACTCTTCTGGGAGGAATTAGAAAGAGAAAGTGCAGGGAAAGTAGACAAACAGCAAATTTCTCTTTGCTGCAGACAGTCATGTCTACAGATTTCTCTTTTGCTGGAGGTGATTAGCACAGAGCCAGATTCACCCAGTGTAATTAATTAGCACACACTGAACCACTAATCAACACTGATTTACTATTGTCATTTGGAAAATTTTTATTAGGCAAAAAGTAATTTTCCAGTTGAGTCACCAAATTGAATATGGATAATTTCATTGTGGTTGACAAAAATTGTTTTGACAAATATTTATGAAATCTGTCAAGGGAAGTCATCAGAAACGTGTTTAAATTTAGGGATGTCGTCTCGCACAAAACCCTCCAAGCTGGTGGCACTTGGAGGGACGGTAATCGTTGAAGCCATGTCTAATAGTGAAGAGACTGAAAATAATTTTGGAGAAAGCTGAAAGATGTGCTTGTGATTTCTCATACTGCACTACCGAAGTCTACTTGCCAGGCAATCAGGACAGAAAGTAGCTGTTAGGGGAAGACCCATTATCTGTATATGAAACAACGGTGGATCTCTCCCCGTGTGGACCATGGAGACACGACTCAGGGCGGTGGTGACGGAGGCTTCCTTCCATTTCAGAATGGTTGCTTCCGTTCAGGAATTGCAGCCTATCATCTCATGGTTGTATCTCACTCACGCACATAGAAAAATGAATCACCGTTGCATATCACGCTAAAAAAACGTAATCCCTAGTATTGTTTTATTATGTTCTCATTTCCAGTGTTCCCGTCTCCTCATTGCTAATCAAGAGAAATGATGTTTCAGCTACAGCTCCTCAGCGAGCAGCCAGGCAGCCATGTGAAAATCTCACCTGGCACTTGACAGTGCTACTGTGGCTTCTTTAATAGTCTCACTTGGTTGGAACTCTTGAGGTGAAGAACCAGTCTTATTTATCATTGATTTTTCTTTTTTTAGTTAAGGCTCCCTATTGAGTATGATTCTCAGGCTCCGTTTCAGCTGTATTAACGACTTTATCCAGACTTGTGTCTGCTTCTGACTAGTCTTTAATCTAGTGGATAGTTTTACCTCTGCCATTATTCCTATGTAAATTTAGAGTGATTTAACTAACTCTCACTTTTCTGAAAGTGTCATGTAAAGGAGATAAGCTATGAAGTATGAAACCCGGCTATGTGGAGATTAGAATCTCTCATTTACTGCTCTTGGTCGACCCCAGCTTTTTCCTTTTGGCATATATTGGTAATAGTTGCTTACAAATACTTGCTGGGCATGTAATCACCCAGGGAAATCTCAGCTAATGACAGGCTGAAGGTGTATGTTAATTGGTAGGGGAGACAAAAGATTTTCTACCTTCTCTTCTCTGTTTTGTGTAGCTTTCATTTTGATTTACTCAAAAGCATTGTTCAGCAGCGATTTCTTGGTTCCATAAAAATGTTCATTTCCTTTCTCAAATGAATTTAGCAGTCAATATTCTTACGTACGGCACATTTCTACTCATCAATGCCATAGCTGTGGTCTATAATCTCATGTGAGTTTCACATCTGCTAGGGTCCCATCAAGATCCAAGCAAGCAGTTTATAAACACATCCTTACTTCATCATGTCTGATAAACAACAGTCACTGCCTGCCTGTAATATCAGTACCTGTGTAGAATTTCTTTAAAAGTCCTTTCTGTTGAGCTCTCTACTTCTTATACTTGGTGCAATTCACTTTTAGGGCATCTGAGAGCCTGCAGCACATTGTAGGGACAGGAATGGACACAGGGAAGGTTTTCTGATCCAGCAGACCGGGTAAAGGAGGAGTCAGAGTCCTCAGTGACTTTTGCAGGTTTTTTATTTAGATTTACCAGGCACGTGGCAGGCAGGGGTGCTGGGGGGCCGGGAGGCTGGCAGGCCTCCCAGCCCCCAGCAAATCCTCACTCTATCTGGGCTCTCTGGCATTCTCTCAGCTTCTGCTCATTCTTGGCTTCTGCTGGTGTCCCCATGACGCCGCCCTTATAAACTCAGTCTCTCAGCCCAGGTGTACCCACTTCAGGTGCCCGCCATCAGGCATGCATTCAGGACCACAGGGTTCCCTCATCTATCCTAATGGCGGGAGGGCAGAAAAGCCGGATACCTTTACCTTACCCTATACACATCCTTTGTTTATATTAGAGTGCAGCGCTTGGGTGCCTGTTAACAGGTGTGTCCAGAAGGCAGAACTCACCCAGTGCCCAGTAGAGGACCAGCTCTTGCAGGTGTAGCCGAGAACTGTCATCCAGGAACCTTGACCTTCAGCAATTGTGAAGTTAATTGGCTGCTAGTTCCTCATTTATAGATGTAGCTTAGTAGTTACTTATTAGATGTTAACAAAATGGTTCATTTGTAGCCATTTAATAAAAGATTTATATCTTGTTTTATGATGAAGCTGACTTTGGCAGGGGTAGCTCATTAGATGGGTTCCCATAGCTTTTTACCTTGTAGTTCAGTAATGCGTTGCTAATTATTAATGTATGAAATTGCATATTAAATTACCTCTTTATTATTGCATTTTTAATTTAAATATCGAGTTGTCCTGGGTTGCTCTAATGTGAGATCAATTGCTATATCTTTTAAAAACTAAAATGGAACTGAAGTATTTACTCAACTAAGAAATTCCCTTTTTCCCGCTCTTTCATCTTCACTTTAAATGGACTCAGGGAAAGGCAAGGCAGTCCTAAAAGCACCGGCTCCTTGTGGGTCTTCCTATTAGAAGATGAGGCGGCAACTACACACCAAGGCCGTCGAGTACCAGGGGAGACCGTTCCCTTGAAAACTTGTACCTCCACTTACATATTGATGACCAACTACCTTTAACAAGGCAGTAAGTAGTGAGGGGCTCCCTAATTAAAGGCACAGCTTAAGTAACATAGCCCTGGGAAGATGACCCACTGACTGAAATTTGCTGACGGATGCCTTATCCTTTGGTTGAAGAATAATTTGGGAAGACTCGAGAGCGCCTGTAGAGAGAAAGAATATCACAGAATATGAGAAAAAAATTGTGCACGTGAAGAAA